ACCTCCTGGATCCCGGTGGATCCCCGTGGATCCCTGTGGATCCCTGGATCCCCCCATCCCTTCCATACCTCCTGGATCCCGGTGGATCCCCGTGGATCCCTGTGGATCCCTGGATCCCCCCATCCCTCCTGGATCCCCCTGGATCCCTGTGGATCCCTGTGGATCCCTGGATCCCCCTGTGGATCCCCTCGCAGATCCCGCTGCCGGCTCTGATGGTGACGGCCGGGAAGGACCCGGTGCTGCTTCCCAGCCTCAGCAAGGGCATGGAAAACTGGGTAAGCCCGGCAATTCCCGACCCTCAGCCCACCAGGGATCCCAAAGGAAAAGCCGGGAATGCCGGGATCCGACCCCGACCCTCCCCCTTCCCTCTTTCCCCCCCTCCCTCTTCCCAAGATCCCGCGGCTGCGCCGGGAGCACCTGGAGGAATGCGGGCACTGGACGCAGATGGAAAGGTGGGAGCCGGGATAATCCCCCCCCTTCCCAACATTCCCGGGAATTCCGGCTCCCGGCCCATTCCCGGCTTTCCCCGCAGGCCGGCGGAGGTGAACAGGATCCTGCTGGAGTGGCTGGAAGGGCTCCCGCCGGACGTCCCTTTTCCCGGGATTTCCCGGCTGTGAACGGGAGCCATTCCCGGCTTTCCCTTCCCTTGCCTTTTCCTGGGAATTCCTGGCTGTGAACGGGAGCCTTTCCCAGCTTTCTCTTCCCTTTTCCTGGGAATTCCCAGCTGTGAACGGGAGCCTTCCCTGGCTTTCTCTTCCCTTTTCCCGGGAATTCCTGGCTGTGAACGGGAGCCTTTCCTGGCTTTCTCTTCCCTTTTCCTGGGAATTCCCAGCTGTGAACAGGAGCCTTTCCCACCTTTCCCTTCCCTCCATCCCCTTTTCCCGGGAATTCCCACCTGTGAACGGGAGCCTTTCCCTTCCCTTCCCTTTTCCCGGGAATTCCTGGCTGTGAACGGGAGCCTTTCCTGCCTTTCCTTTCCCTTTTCCCAGGAATTCCCGGCTGTGAACGGGAGCCTTTCCCGCCTTTCCCTTCCCTTCCCTCCATCCCCTTCTCCTGGGAATTCCCGACTGTGAACAGGAGCCTTTCCCACCTTTCCCTTCCCTCCATCCCCTTCTCCCGGGGCCCAGGGCTTGGAATTCCCATTGGAATTGTCCCTTTGCCCTTGGAATTGTCCCTTTGCCCTTGGAATTGTCCCTTTGCCCTTGGAATTGTCCCTTTGCCCTTGGAATTGTGCCTTTGCCCTTGGAATCGTGCCTTTGCCGCTGGAATTTTTTCCTTTCGGGGGCGGAATTTTTCATCTCCGGGCTTTGATTTTCCCGCCCTGGAGCCAAAATTTTTGGGAATCTTTGGGAATCTTTGGGTTGGGAATACAAGCCGATGGATGAGCCGGAGGCGGGAAGAGCTCCAAGCACCTCCCTGGAAAAGGGGAGGGGGGGGTTTTGTGGGAATTTGGGGCTGGATCCATCCCTTGGAGCTTCCCCAGATCCCTGATCCCATCCCGGGGCTTTTCCCTGGGCTTTGAATGAGCCGAGAATTAATTAGTGATCGATACTTAATGATTAATAATCGATGATTAATGATTGGTAATTAACAGTCGGTAATTAGCGCTGCCTTAAACCTTCGGGAAATAAAGCCAGAAGTATTCCAGAGCTTCCGGTCTTCCTGGGATTCCTTGGGATGCAGCTTCTCCCTCCGTTTTCCCCGGAATTCCGGGGCTCATTCCCTGCCTGGAGACACCTTTTCCCAAATTCCCACATTCCTTGGGATGCAGCTTCTCCCTCCATTTTCCC